TCCATGTCCCTCAATTAGACTTGATGCTCAGCAGAATTCATGCATGTTTGATGTGGCTGCTATGATCTGATTGGCTGATGGTTTCCAGATGTTATATTTGGCAGGAAGTTAGATAAAACCTTTCTAATAAATAATTACTCAAATTCCGCCCTCTAAATCAATGGCCAAAGTAATTTTTAAATTATTGAATAATGCTTTGTTTTCATCACTTAAATAGTACAATAGAGCAAATATACGTATTTTGTTGTTTCCTAGTGGCTAAATCACAATCAGACGTCATTCCATCCGAGCTGACATATTAACTTCTGTGGAATTGTTATTTACTGTCAATTATACTTTATTACAGTTATCTCCCTTTTCACTTATATTTAACATTGTGCATGTAACTTTTAGCACCATTGAAACCTTACCTTAAAATGTAGTGCATTCTTTATCCTAACATGGAGTTGATCAGGTAACTGTGTTATTTCGACTAATTTTATGGAAAGGTTTGCTATATTTATCCCACCATCATCACATGATAAGCTGTTCAAATCATCCTTCCTTCGTCGGTGGTGACGGTCATCCATCATTCTGTCATTCTGTCTGTCCTTAAACCTTGTTCTTGTTATTATAAATATATATTTCTTATGAGGGTTACCCTTGGCCTTAGTTGTGGATATAAAATTTTGGGACGGATAAAAAATCCATGATTGCCGATAGATGGCCATCTTAAATTTTGAGAGTGTAAGTTTGTTAGTACCGTTTCACAGAATGTATGTGGGGGATCTTTCTCTATTGCCAACAGGTGGCCATCTTGAAGTTTGAGCGTTTGTTAGCACTATTTCTCAGCAAGTCTAAGAGTGGTTCTTTCCCTATTTCACATAAGGTTCTCAATGATCATGAGTTATGCATATTATAATTTGGGATTGATTGGAAAAACAGTATGGCCACCAGATTGTCATCTTGAATTTTGGCAGTTCATTCTTGTGAACACCATTTCTGAAGAAGTACTGGATAGATCTTTATAAAATTTCATATGTTGATATTTATAAGTCCTAAATTGTGCAGGTGTCTTTTTGATGATGATCAGAAAAAAAGGTCGCCAGGCAACCATCTTTGATTTTGTTTCAGGTTGTTATGAATATTTTTAAACAAGCACTAGACAGATCTTTTGTTACACATTAGTAAGTAGTATGCTAGTGAATTGGTCATATCACAACCTCACATTGACAATGATATACACTTTAATAAGTATTATGCTAGTAAATAGGTCAAATGACAACCTCACATTGACAATGTCATACACTTTAATAAGTAGTATGCTAGTAAATAGGTCAAATGACAACCTCACATTGACAATGTCATACACTTTAGTAAGTATTATGCTAGTAAATAGGTCAAATTACAACCTCACATTGACAATTTCATACACATTAGTAAGTAGTATGCTAGTAAATTGGTCAAATGACAACCATACATTGACAATCTCATACACATTAGTAAGTATTATGCTATTAAATAGGTCAATAGGTCAAATGACAACCTCACATTGACAATGTCATACACTTTAATAAGTAGTATGCTAGTAAATAGGTCAAATGACAACCTCACACACATTAGTAAGAAGTATGCTAGTAAATAGGTCAAATGACAACCTCACATTTACAGTGTCATACACTTTAGTAAGTAGTATGCTAGTAAATAGGTCAAATGTCAACCTCACATTGACAATTTCATACACATTAGTAAGTATTATGCTAGTAAATAGTTTACTGTTCTAGTAAATAGGTCAAATGACAACCACACATTTACAGTGTCATACACTTTAGTAAATAGTATGCTAGTAGAAAGGTCAAATGACAACCTCAAATTGACAATGTCATACACTTTAATAATTAGTATGCTAGTAAATAGGTCAAACGACAACCTCACACACATTAGTAAGAAGTAGGCTAGTAAATAGGTCAAATGACAACCACACATTTACAGTGTCATACACTTTAGTAAATAGTATGCTAGTAGAAAGGTCAAATGACAACCTCAAATTGACAATGTCATACACTTTAATAAGTAGTATTCTAGTAAATAGGTCAAATGACAACCTCACACACATTAGTAAGAAGAATGCTAGTAAATAGGTCAAATGTCAACCTCACATTGACAATTTCATACAAATTAGTAAGTATTATGCTAGTAAATTGGTCAAATGACAACCTCACATTGACACTTTCATACACATTAGTAAGTATTGTGCTATTAAATAGGTCAATAGGTCAAATGCCAACCTCACATTGACAGTGTCCTGCACTTTAGTAAGTAGTATGCTAGTAAAAAGGACAAATGACAACCTCACATTGACAGTGGCCTACACTTTAGTAAGTAGTATGCTAGTAAAAAGGTCAAATGACAACCTCAAATTGACAATGTCATACACTTTAGTAAGTAGTGTGCTAGTAAATAGGTCAAATGACAACCTCACATTGACAATCTCATACACTTTAGTAAATAGTATGCTAGTAAAAAGGTCAAATGACAACCTCACATTGACAATGTCATACACATTAGTAAGTATTATGCTATTAAATAGGTCAATTGGTCAAATGACAACCTCACATTGACAGTGTCCTACACTTTAGTAAGTAGTATGCTAGTAAATAGGTCAAATGACAACCTCACATTGACAATCTCATACACATTAGTAAGTATTATGCTAGTAAATTGGTCAAATGACAACCTCACATTGACAATGTCATACACTTTAATAAGAAGTATGCTAGTAAATAGGTCAAATGGCAACCTCACATTGACAATGTCATGCACTTTAATAAGTAGTATGCTAGAGAATAGGTCAAATGACAACCTCACATAGACAATCTCTGACAACCTCACATTGACAATGTGATACACTTTAGTAAGTAGTATGCTATTAAATAGGTCAAATGACAACCTCGCATTGACAGTGTCATACACTTTAGTAAGTAGTATTCTAGTAAATAGGTCAAATGACAAACTCACATTGACAATCTCTGACAACCTCACAGTTACAATGTCATACACTTTAATAAGTAGTATCCTAGTAAATAGGTCAAATGACAAACTCACATTGACAATCTCTGACAACCTCACATTGACAATGTAAATGACAACCTCACATTGACAATCTCATAGTCAAATGACAACCTCACATTGACAGTGTCATACACTTTAGTAAGTAATATGCTAGTAAATTGGTCAAATGGCAACCTCACATTGACAATGTCATACACATTTGTAAGTATTATGCTAGTAAATAGTAAGTAGTATGCTAGTAAATTGGTCAAATGACAACCATATACACTTTAATAAGTATTATGCTAGTAAATAGGTAAGTATTATGCTATTAAATAGGTCAATAGGTCAAATGACAACCTCACGTTGACAATGTAATACACATTAGTAAGTAGTATGCTAGTAAATTGGTCAAATGGCAACCTCACATTGACAATGTCATACATTTTAATAAGTATTATGCTAGTAAATAGGCCAAATGACAACCTCACATTGACAATCTCTAACAACCTCACATTGACAATGTCAAACACTTTAATAAGTAGTATGCTAGTAAATAGGTCAAATGGCAACCTCACATTGACAATGTCATGCACTTTAATAAGTAGTATTCTAGTAAATAGGTCAAATGACAACCTGACATTGACAGTGTCCTACACTTTAGTAAGTAGTATGCTAGTAAAAAGGTCAAATGACAACCTCACATTGACAATCTCATATACATTAGAAAGTATTATGCTAGTAAATAGGTCAAACGACAACCTCACATTGACAATGTCATGCACTTTAATAAGTAGTATGCTAGAGAATAGGTCAAATGACAACCTCACGTTGACAATGTAATACACATTAGTAAGTAGTATGCTAGTAAAAAGGTCAAATGACAACCTCACATTCACAGTGTCATACACTTTAGTAAGTAGTATGCTATTAAATAGGTCAAATGACAACCTCACGTTGACAATGTAATACACATTAGTAAGTAGTATGCTAGTAAAAAGGTCAAATGACAACCTCACATTCACAGTGTCATACACTTTAGTAAGTAATATGCTAGTAAATTGGTCAAATGACAACCTCACATTGACAATGTAAATGACAACCTCACATTGACAATGTCATACACTTTAATAAGTAGTATGCTAGTGAATAGGTCAAATGACAACCTCACATTGACAATCTCATATACATTAGAAAGTATTATGCTAGTAAATAGGTTAAATGACAACCTCACATTGACAATCTCATACACATTAGTAAGTATTATGCTAGTAAATAGGTCAAATGGCAACCTCACATTGACAATGTCATACACATTTGTAAGTATTATGCTAGTAAATAGTTTACTGTTTACATTGATTAGTCAATCCAACAAGGTGGGATAGTAGTGTCACAAAGATCCCTCTTGGCTCTCCTGTATGTATGGGATAGTGGTGTCACAAAGATCCCCCTTGGCTCTCCTGTATGTATGGGATAGTAGTGTCACAAATATCCCTCTTGGCTCTCCTGTATGTAGTTCATCTGTTATAATTTTGAAAGGAAATATTTGGAGTCTGAGTGTCCGTTTTGCCATTTATCCGTCTGTCTGTCCACACATTGGTTTCTGAATAACTTGCTTAAATATCATTTACTTCTGATGAAACTTACAATATATAAAGGTTGAGGCCACTGGCAAAATGGAGAAAAAATAATTTAAACTATATAACACTGATTGACCAACAGTTTCTCACAATATTGTTATCGAATATAACTCAGGATTTTGACGAAACCTGGTCAGCATTAGAACTACACAAACCTGGTCAGCATTAGAACTACACAAACCTGGTCAGCATTAGAACTACACAAACACGAGGTGTTGTTCTGCTCCTGTAGTACTCCTTATTACATTGCTTGCCTAAATTGGCTGCGAACTTTCTCTTTTTAAATTGTTTTTCTTACCAATGACTATGTACTTTATTTTTATGTTGCAGTTTACAGCCAGTTTGCGTTATGTGAGTACCTGGTTGTAGTGTCCAATATTCTGTTTCATGGAACTGCCGTCCTGGACTTCAAATTTGCCGTTACAACTTTAGCAATTGTGAATCAAAGGTCACGAAGTTCATTGCCCAGATAGCATACATTCATTGGCGCTCATTACCTACGAAGAATATGTTACACAGGGTTATCACTGTCTACACCTAACAACGGTTACATAGTGGTCATTGCCCATGTAGCTTAAATCAAGGGTGATCACTGGCTACATCTAACACCGGTTACACAGTGATCATTGCCCATGTAGCTTAAATCATAGGGTGATCACTGGCTACACCTAACAACGGTTACACAGTGGTCATTGCCCATGTAGCTTAAATCACAGGGGGATAACTGTCTGCACCTAACAACGGTTACACAGTAGTCATTGCCCATGTAGCATAAATTACATAGTTCACCGTCTACGATCGTCGTAGCAAAAAAGTTTCACTGCCCAAGTTGTGTAAATTGAATGGTATTGATTGTCTACATGTAGCAAAGATAACACAGTATTAACCACCCATGCATGTAGTGTATAGATACATGGTGTTCACCGTCAACAAAGCATACACTTTTTATGAAGCAATTACAGTTCAGTGCTCACATGACTAAGACTATGTTAATGATGTGTTTGGTACAGTTATATGTTCACTGATACAATACCATGCTTCCCATCACCATATTTCACAACACAATGCTTCACAATACAATGTTTCACAACCCTGCTTCACAACACAATGTTTCACAACACCGTGCTTCACAACACAATGCTCTACAGCACTATGCTTCACAACACAATGTTTCACAACACCGTGCTTCACGACACACTATTTCACAAAACCGTGCTTCACAACACCGTGCTTCACGACACAATGTTTCACAAAACCGTGCTTCACAAAACCGTGCTTCACAACATTGTGCTTCACAACACAATGTTGCAGAATACCATGCAACAATATGTCACGCCATGTTACATAAGATTCACTGTATTATAATTTGGTGTGTTGATTAGTAATTATGGAGTACATTTGACGGGAATCTGTGTTTATGTATAATTCTTTCGTGATGTGTTGCAATATTACTGTACATACTGGGTTTGTAAAATGGACGAGCAAATGAGGATAAACAATTTCAGAAAATTTCCAATATAGTAAAACACATAAGTGACAAATAAGAGATAAACGATGTCTGTACAATTTCGTGTATAGTTAGATATGAATAGAAGATAAACGACTTCTGCTAATTTCCACTATATTAGAATAAATTATTGTTAGGAGATAAACAGGTTCGGTGTATATATCTGCTATGAAGTGAAATTATATAAGTAATTAAAAGGTAAATGCTTTTAGTAAATTTCCCATAAAGTGAAATCAAATATATAGCCTATTTACTCAATATTTATTAAATTGTCTTCAATGCAAAGTTTATTTTTTACTAAAGGAATGCCTTCATAAAACAAACAGTTCGGCGGACTTATAACATATCCATCTCCTTTGGGACTAACACGAGGCTACGAAATGACATATTATATCTTGTTCATTTATATGCCTAGGTCATGCGGAGCTTATATTTTCTTTTACTATCTGCGGAGAGGCATATCGGCCTCAAAACAAGATTGGTGTTGCTATTGGAATGTACAAAGAGTATAGTAAAATCTCCCAGTAAAATATGTTTTACCGATATGTAATAAAACCAATGGACGTGTTACCGTAACGAATACATGAACTTTATATCACGTTTCTTTTCGTAACATTTTATGCTTCTTATAAAAAACACCTAGACATGATTTAAACATTAAAGCACAGTTTCAATGTTAACATGTCTAGTACATTATAACATCACAGATTGTTGTGAAATGGCACATCATCTGAAGTTCATGTATCCATCTTGGTTATTTAGCCTCTGTTTTCTTATTTATAATTTCTTAAAATATATTACATTGGAATTTCACCATTATTTTACTTTAACATGGCAACATCTTTCCTCATACGAAGCCAGTATGTCACTCCATTAAAAGACCAAGAAATACAAATAAACTTTAGATAATTTGTAATTTCATAGTACATGTTTTCAGTTGGGTCGCGAAAGAGATTGACATGTTATACGTTTAATGAACTGTTTATTATGAATACATCAACCGTATTGCCTAATTATTGACTGAGGAATGATGATTTTTTTTATTCCTGACCCGTGCAAAGTTACCAAATATGATTTACTTTATATTTGGATAAGGCATAAGGTAAATTGGGTTGTTAATATAAAGTACTGGACCAATCAAAATTTCAAGCTAGAGAGCTACAATGGTATTGCGGTTAACCCCTTATCAATTTTTGATAAGGGGTTTACCACAATCAAAATCAAAAGCAATCAAAAGACTTTGTTCCTTTTTGATGTTTTATGCAGACTTTTGCTAGTTAAGGTGAAAGATAAATGCCGCTGAGAATGAAATACCGGCCGTGAAACTTTAACAAGTGTTAGGAGAAAAGTGAGCCATACGTTTATTTTTATACATCTTTGTATTTGATAAAACAATTGCATTCTTGCCTTTCCTCATACTTTATTTTGTATAATTGTCGCAGACACTTAGGCCTTGTAGTAAGGTGGTTTGTTTTTGATACAGAATTATTTTAACAACTGTTTGTTAGGATAGTGTTATATAAGGGTACGTTAGGTGTTTGGCGAGGAATATTTTATTTTACGTATTTTATTTAATTAAATGGTATGGTGGCGTATAAGGGTCTAGACTTGTTATTAAGTCTATGTAAGTTACATATATTTGTTACTTATAGGTAGACTTGCTTGTTTGTTTAATGTCGGCTTGTTGATGTTTAATTAACCAAGTCAATAGAATAAGATCGGCTTCTTTACGAAGTTTACTAAAATTATGCTCATTTCATTTTCATACGACAAAATTAAATCGTGTTGTTTTATATATTATCAAGTCAATAAAATGTATGTATACGTGTCGATATAAATGTAGCGTTATTTACTTGATAATTGTTGACTTTATGAGATGTATTGCACATGTACACAGGAAGTAAATTCTCATTTTTATGAAGTTGACAAAAACTATGTCAACTTGCGGGAAATTGAGTTAATTGTGCTTGTTGACATATATGTAGACTTGTTCACTTGTCCTTTGTCGACTTGTTGATAAATAACTTAACATGTCGATAGAAATAAATCAATTTCTTTTAAATGGTGACTAAAGCTATGTTCACTAAACGAGACAAGTAGTTTGTGTTGCTAAGCACAACCTAACATGCCATCTTGTTTTGAGTAGACACTTTCTTTATCGGAACTTTAATAAGTTGACATGAATAAAAAGGTAGACAAACAATATGTTGTCTTTTGTTATTAAGTAGACTATTTAAATACACGTATCTAATGGGGACTTGTGTTCAACGTATTGAATGTGCACGGTATCAATGTATTTGAATCGAAATCATTGATGCACTGGGAATCGTTTGAAACGGAAGCTACAAAGGTACGTATTTTAAAGATACTTTTAAATGAATAACTGCTCCATATTAAAATTTGAATAGTGATACATACACGGTATATGTGAGTTAGCAATTCAATATGATATACGACATAGAAATGTAACATGTTTTTTCTAATATATAGATTGGAGCATATACTTCATATATTGCAAAATCGGAAATATTTGTCTCTGAAGAGAATTCAAATTTATTGTTTGTATATAATACCAATATACCTAAATGCACTAAAAACTAAACCAAACGTGCGTACTGACGTCTACAATACGATCAACGTACTGACGTCTACAATACGATCAATGGTGTTGATGAAAAAGTTGTAGTATATTCGTACATACAACAGCATTATTGGTAACAATTGGAATCAACGATTCCTTTCCATATACAAAAACAAAAATACCCAAAAAATAGCAATGGGAATATTTTAAATTATTAGATATTATCTTATGCTTATATTTCAAGTCTAAGTAAGTCTATGTTGGGTTCAACACCCTTTTCTTAGCTGATTTTTGATTTAAGCAACTATTATTAAATAATAAAACCATTGGATAACAGGTAACACTCCACTAACACGTTACACATTTGTTTTGTATTTTAGTGAAATGATCCGATGGTGTTATGTTTCCGTTGAAGGCTCAGATGAAATGTTTAACAAAATAACAATGAGACAAAATGTTTACTAACACATTAATGTAAGGGATCAAACATAGGAAATGAAATGTCTTTTCTTATTTGTAAATTTCTATTTATTATGAGATTTCCTACTTTTGTGATAAGTAATACTCAGGGATCCAAACCAAACATAGGAATTCAAATATATAATTGGAATACCTGGTATACTGCACTCGTAATTAAACTATTAGAGTAGTACAAAGCCCGGATACGAGGTTGTAATTTTGGGTAAATAATGATGCGTCTACAGAGGATTTGGTGAAATACTATTTCCTCCTGTCATACAGATACTATTTCCTCCTGTCATACAGATACTATTTCCTCCTGTGCTACAGATACTATTTCCTCCTGGGCTACAGATACTGTTTCCTCCTGTGCTACAGATTCTATTTCCTCCAGTGCTACAGATACTATTCCTCCTGTGCTACAGATAATATTTCCTCCTGTCCAACAGATACTATTCCTCCTGTGCTACAGATACTATTTCCTCCTGTCCAACAGATATTAATTCTCCTGTGCTACAGATAATATTTCTCCTGTCCTACAGATACTATTTCCTCCTGTGCTACAGATTCTATTTCCTCCTGTGCTACAGATACTATTTCCTCTTGTGCTACAGATACTATTCCTCCTGTGCTACAGATAATATTTCCTCCTGTCCAACAGATACTATTCCTCCTGTGCTACAGATACTATTTCCTCCTGTCCAACAGATACTAATTCTCCTGTGCTACAGATACTATTTCTCCTGTCCTACAGATACTATTTCCTCCTGTGCTACAGATTCTATTTCCTCCTGTGTTACAGATACTATTTCCTCCAGTGCTACATATACTATTTCCTCCTGTGCTACAGATTCTATTTCCTCCTGTCCTACAGATACTATTTCCTCCTGTGCTACAGATACTATTTCCTCCTGTGCTACAGATACTATTCTTCCTGTCCTACAGAAACTATTTCTCCTGTGCTACAGATACTATTCCTCCTGTCCTACAGAAACTATTTCTCCTGTGCTACAGATACTATTCCTCCTGTCCTACAGAAACTATTTCTCCTGTGCTACAGATACTATTCCTCCTGTCCTACAGAAACTATTTCCTCCTGTGCTACAGATACTTTTTCCTCCTGTGCTACAGATACTATTCCTCCTGTCCTACAGATACTATTTCCTCCTGTGCTACAGATACTATTTCCTCCTGTCCTACAGATACTATTTCCTCCTGTGCTACAGATACTATTTCCTCCTGTCCTACAGATATTTTCTCCTGTGCTACAGATACTATTCCTCCTGTCCTACAGAAACTATTTCTCCTGTGCTACAGATACTATTCCTCCTGTCCTACAGAAACTATTTCTCCTGTGCTACAGATACTATTCCTCCTGTCCTACAGAAACTATTTCTCCTGTGCTACAGATACTATTCCTCCTGTCCTACAGAAACTATTTCTCCTGTGCTACAGATACTATTCCTCCTGTCCTACAGAAACTATTTCTCCTGTGCTACAGATACTATTCCTCCTGTCCTACAGAAACTATTTCTCCTGTGCTACAGATACTATTCCTCCTGTCCTACAGAAACTATTTCTCCTGTGCTACAGATACTATTCCTCCTGTCCTACAGAAACTATTTCTCCTGTGCTACAGATACTATTCCTCCTGTCCTACAGAAACTATTTCTCCTGTGCTACAGATACTATTCCTCCTGTCCTACAGAAACTATTTCTCCTGTGCTACAGATACTATTCCTCCTGTCCTACAGAAACTATTTCTCCTGTGCTACAGATACTATTCCTCCTGTCCTACAGAAACTATTCCTCCTGTGCTACAGATACTATTCCTCCTGTCCTACAGAAACTATTTCTCCTGTGCTACAGATACTATTCCTCCTGTCCTACAGAAACTATTTCTCCTGTGCTACAGATACTATTCCTCCTGTCCTACAGAAACTATTTCTCCTGTGCTACAGATACTATTCCTCCTGTCCTACAGAAACTATTTCTCCTGTGCTACAGATACTATTCCTCCTGTCCTACAGAAACTATTTCTCCTGTGCTACAGATACTATTCCTCCTGTCCTACAGAAACTATTTCTCCTGTGCTACAGATACTATTCCTCCTGTCCTACAGAAACTATTTCTCCTGTGCTACAGATACTATTCCTCCTGTCCTACAGAAACTATTTCTCCTGTGCTACAGATACTATTCCTCCTGTCCTACAGAAACTATTTCTCCTGTGCTACAGATACTATTCCTCCTGTCCTACAGAAACTATTTCCTCCTGTGCTACAGATACTATTCTTCCTGTCCTACAGATACTGTTCATCCTGTGCTACAGATACTATTCTTCCTGTCCTACAGATACTATTTCCTCCTGTTCTACAGATACTATTCCTCCTGTCCTACAGAAACTATTTCCTCCTGTGCTACAGATGCTATTCTTCCTGTCCTACAGATACTATTTCCTCCTGTGCTACAGATACTATTCTTCCTGTCCTACAGAAACTATTTCTCCTGTGCTACAGATACTATTCCTCCTGTCCTACAGAAACTATTTCTCCTGTGCTACAGATACTATTCCTCCTGTCCTACAGAAACTATTTCCTCCTGTCCTACAGATATTTTTTCCTCCTGTGCTACAGATACTATTCCTCCTGTCCTACAGATACTATTTCCTCCTGTGCTACATATACTATTTCCTCCTGTCCTACAGATACTATTTCCTCCTGTCCTACAGATACTATTTCCTCCTGTGCTACAGATGTTATTCTTCCTGTCCTACAGATACTATTTCCTCCTGTCCTACAGATGCTATTCCTCCTGTCCTACAGATACTATTTCCTCCTGTCCTACAGATACTATTTCCTCCTGTGCTACAGATACTATTTCCTCCTGTCCTACAGATACTATTTCCTCCTGTGCTACAGATACTATTTCCTCCTGTGCTACAGATAATATTTCCTCCAGTGCTACAGATACTATTTCCTCCTGTCCTACAGATACTATTCCTCCTGTCCTACAGATACTATATCCTCCTGTGCTACAGATACTTTTCCTCCTGTGCTACAGATACTATTTCCTCCTGTCCTACAGATACTATTTCCTCCAGTGCTACAGATACTATTTCTCCTGTCCTACAGATACTATTTCCTCCTGTGCTACAGATTCTATTTCCTCCTGTGTTACAGATACTATTTCCTCCTGTGCTACAGATACTATTTCCTCCAGTGCTACAGATACTATTCCTCCTGTCCTACAGATACTATTTCCTCCTGTCCTACAGATACTATTTCCTCCTGTGCTACAGATGTTATTCTTCCTGTCCTACAGATACTATTTCCTCCTGTCCTACAGATGCTATTCCTCCTGTCCTACAGATACTATTTCCTCCTGTCCTACAGATACTATTTCCTCCTGTGCTACAGATACTATTTCCTCCTGTCCTACAGATACTATTTCTCCTGTCCTACAGATATGACGATATTTGTGGGTTCTTGCTGTCATGCCATAATATTGTCATGAGCATATCTACATTAAAGTGTTTGCTCAGGGGACTGGATTAAGTAAGAAATAATCTAAAGGTAAACTTAACTGATGTAGTGAGACAAATTCTGTATATGCATTCGGACGGAAACCGTTACGTTGGCTATAATACCTTTAGGAGGAAACTCAACATTTGATTTGGAATACACGTGACGCAATCTATTGTCCAATCAGCATTACAGATCATTGACCCCGATGGAGTGCGACTGAGAGCTCACGCGTTAGGCAAAATAAAAACAATTGAAGGAAATTATCGAATGGTCGCCAATATAATTTGTAGTCTGACGGAAATATCGCCAAAATACACAACAGTTTCACGCAAACTTTGCTGTTTTCCCTCACTATCAAAAACAAATAAAAAAAAGTCAATCAAAATGTTCACAGTTGTTTCGGAAATACATATAAGGCGTACTCTAACAATAAATGTAACTCGAGCCCTTACTGACATATTTTCCGGGAGGCACTATCGCACATAACCTTATATGTTTCGAAAAAGATTTGGTTTGATATCGCTATCAATGTTAATGCTGTTAATGTGTTAAGAAAATTAAACTCAAACCATTAATTATGATTCACATATGTTATTGAAAACGTTACATGTGTTACATAACCTAACCAAGAAGAAAACAAAACGATGACGTCACTAATGTAGTATAAAACATATCTTGCGAAGGTTTATTTGATTGTTTCGGTATAAATAACTTAAATTATTTTGAAATTATATGAGAATGGAAATATCGGGGCAAACTACACTTGTACACCTCATGAGTGGTCGTAGCCTAAATAATAAACCTCGTTCTTGACACTTATAGAGGATGGTACATCTGTAAATAAACATGTATAATTGGCCTGACCATCCACATCATTAAAGAATGGTTATAGCCCAATATGCCTCAGCCAATGAGAGGCGGGAGCAGCAGCCAGATTTGTTGTCCGATCGGAAAAGTAAAAACAAGTAGTTATGCTAAGAAGAAAAACACTAAAACAACAGGTTTCACAAATTTTACTGAAATAGGGATTTAATGATGTGTTTGTCGCCGTGTTCATAAATGGACAGTTACATGAATACAGGGTAAAGTATTGTACCAAAGTGAATGTACATCCAATCAGTTATTGTGTGTCAACTCTAGGTGTCAAGGTGTCAACTCTAGGTGTTAACTCTAGGTGTCAACTCTAGGTGTTAACTCTAGGTGTTAACTCTAGGTGTCAACTCTAGGTGTCAAGGTGTCAACTCTAGGTGTCAAGGTGTCGACTCTAGGTGTTAACTCTAGGTGTAAACTCTAGGTGTTAACTCTAGGTGTTAACTCTAGGTATCAACTCTAGGTGTTAACTCTAGGTGTCAACTCTAGGTGTTAACTCTATGTGTCAACTCTAGGTGTCAAGGTGTCAACTCTAGGTGTTAACTCTAGGTGTCAACTCTAGGTGTTAACTTTAGGTGTCAAGGTGTCAACTCTAGGTGTCAAGGTGTCAACTCTAGGTGTTAACTCCCACAAAATGCAAAGAATTATTTAGGAATTATTTATTCGCTGGTTTTATTAACATTTGTTTTTATCAAGCACCCGACAAGGGAGTATTCAACATCAGCATATTACATCAGTAATGACCTGTTATATGTTTCTATGGTGACTGTTTATCTCCGTTTTATCTGTTATAGGATTTGATATGAGATTGTCTATATTAGTGCCTTGATAAAATGGCAGATGCCTCGAAAATTTGACATTTCTTTTTACGTGCTGTTACTATTTGTCTTTGCTTCTATATCTTTTTAAGTAATACAGATCCAGTGCCTGTATTGGACCGTAATGTCGTTATTACTTCTATATAGATCATTATCTATTTAAACTGTGACATGACATCTAGTGAATAACTTGTATACAAGCATCGTTTATTGATTTATTCACTGCTTTGATTTATATATTCTGTTCTATTGATTCCATTATTACATAGTCTCACGTTTAAGTGTTCCCTGTAAATAGCCTTCGGCTCCCTGATGGCCGAGGGATCAGTGCAATATCAGCATATGATACATCAGGAATGGCTTGTTTCGTGTGGAACGTTTTTGATATTCGTGGTAACTATTGATCTCTGTGTTAAATGTTGGGATACTTGATTGTTCACAAGTGTTAATAAAGGTTTATGTTAATAGGGTTTGTGTTAATACAGGGACCGACTGCCTCGAAAGTTTGACAAATGTCTTTGTCCGCTGTAATATAGAAACTGGGATTTATTATGTCTCGGTTTAAATAAATTACTTCTTTAATTCTTAATTATTTAATGGATATAAAGCTTAATAAGCACCTTCCCCCTTTTGGTGTATTCCTCCATTTGATTCCATAGACATTATTTTTTTAAATTTTGATCCTAAAACAACCTGATGAGCTCTCAGTTGCTATAATGGCGGTGTGGTGCAGTAAACGTTATCTTACGTTTGGCTTGCTGCATCGACATTCAAAACTAACCACTAGGTTCCCCGCCCTGCGATATATTGAAATTTAACCGATTTTGACAAGTTTTCCGCATAGCCCACAAATGCCAACTGACATTCATATCGATAGAAAATTGCGTTTTACATCCGATGTTATAGAGACACGAATATGTTTACTAGGATCACGAAACAAATGAAATAACAGCCTTAGCTTGAAAGGCAATACAACACGGGCTGCATTGACTGGTACGTGCCACAACAATACGACCACAGTGTATGGCAGTGGAGAAACTAGTGTAGAAACCAGTCATACACCTTTATAACAAATCAACATTGCATAGAAAAGCGATTCTTTATCCCATCGACTCCTAAGAGTAATTAAAATGTTTTGAAATTTTTATCGAAGCATACTATTTTACAATCAATGCGTTTGTGAACTTGATATTCCTGATAAGGTTCAAATGAGGACTGTCTATATTGAATATTTCATGCAGCTGACGGATATGAAAAGCATTCAGGTGTGCGTTCCCAGTCAGTAAACACATTTATCTTAGCTAAAGAACTATCGACTGTGTTACAAACCTTTGACTCCATCTTCTGTATTTAATGTCATATTGACATATTGTTTTCTCTCTATCGATTGTATACACACTGGACTACAGTGTGTAGGAGAAGACTGCATTGGTGTGATTTTATGGCACCAATCAATATTCCTCCGTGAAGCAGCAGAAGAATTGGGACGAGACGGACATGTGACCGAGGACATCCTGATAACGTCTGAGAGACTCGAGGAGGATGTAATCGTGATGTCTGTAGATACGTACTAGGGAACTGAATATCGTATTCCTAGAATTACAAATACAATATGAGAAAGACCAGTCCAACGCGATATGTGATTCAAAACTTGCGTAAAAGCACCACGATGATAAAGACAAAGGACACGGATGTAAAAGACGTGACCACAACTTCTGAAGCCAGAACAGCTCTGTCCGATTATGGAGGAAAAACAACTCTACATGGACTACGCTACGCTCTACAGCTGGGCATCTCGCCTACACGGAGGTAAACATACAGCCTTCTTTTGTTTAAACTTTACACACACAATATAATTATTTGGTTCGATATCGAAAAAAGTCATAGAATACAATTATACGGAAGAATATATGTGGTACTAAATACTAGAATTGTAACATTCTAAAACGATTTTTTTTTGTTATTCCAATTTTTACGTGAGGAAGAATACAAATTTACTCTTAATTAACATTTTAATAAAGTATATTCAATAATTGTCGTGTAGAAAAAAAACTTTGGTCTGGAAAAGTTAAAAAAATAATTGGTTTTGATGTCGAGAACGACTAAAGGCCTATACTGAGACAAGCAATATAACAACATTAAGCAGCATAATGATATTGGTGGTTTAAAACAATAACAGGGATTATAAGACAAAGCATTACAAACAAAAATAAGAATAAAGAAACACAAAACTATGAAGAAGGTATTACATAATAACAATTAGTACCTTTTATATAAAGACAAAAAATAATAATATATGTACACATTAACATGCCGATTCTATAGTATTGAGCATTTGTTCCATATTGAACCTTTTTTCCATAAATCAAAATTTCTTTTCTTTATTCTGATTGGTAGTCACTACAGTGAATAAGTGTAATGGGGCCTTAACCAGCCCCAAATCGTCCTAAACAATATCACAAATTCAAGGAAACTAGAAACGAGTCAGTCCCATGCTTGGTGCAAAATAGTTCACTCATGTGCATTCACCGCAGACTTTTGGGGATACAGGCATTACACAATTGAAGTATTAATTGTGTTATAAGTATAAAAGCATGAAACGAAGTAAACTGTACGACATCAGGAATCTCACTGTCAAAATATCAACTGTTACACTTGATCAAAATAATTGATAACAGGAGATTCTTATCAAAGTAAAGGATTTTTCTCATGAAAATCAAGAGAAAACTCATGAACAAATCAAAATAACCACTTCTTCCGGTTATCAGCTCCTTATAAGTTACTACACCTAATTCAATAAATGTTGCTGCCCGTTTTCTCCTGATAGGTGATAAATACACATCGTAACAATAAGCTGAAGAAAAGTTCAGTAAAAACAAAGGCCAGGCAAGCCTTGACCATTTATTAGACTGGACACCTGAAAAGGGGGATTGGTCGCCTATTCGTTAAACATTGCAAATATTAACGAGAAAACGTTACTCGCCAGGGTATGAACTATGCCATCGTTCAACATAAAATCCAAGTTGATGTTTTTTTTATAGCCACAGAACAGGCATGGAAGAAATTTAGCTATGCTGAGGCTGATCAACTGAGATCTCAGGTAACGGGGGGTTTGAAATCCACGAAATTACGAACAAGTAACATGACGAAAGGAGAACGGGTCGCTCTCCAAAAATTAGGCCGAGACAAATCCATTACCATACTACCAGCTGACAAGGGGAAGGCAACAGTTGTCATGGACACCGACGATTATGAGGCCAAGGTCACAACAATGCTACAGGACAACACGACATATGAACAGCTACAGACCAATCCAACCCAAAAGTTTAAAAGGCGTCTCATAGCCCTACTATCAAAATTAAAACAAGTGAGCAAGATTACCGAGAGCCAATACAGACATTTGTATCCCACAGCAGAGAACACTCCTAGAATGTACTGTACACCCAAGATCCACAAGCAGGGAAACCCACTGATGCCTATTGTGGACTACACTGGATCCATTGGTTACAATGTTTCCAGATCATTAGCAGACATTCTTGGACCGCTAGTGGGTAAATAGGAACACCATGTAAAGAATTCGAAACATCTAGCGGAAGCGTTGTCTACCATCATGATTCAGGAAGACGAAGAATTTATTTCACATGATGTTGTATCTATCTTCACTAACACACCCATTGACAACGCACTTAGCATCATTCGGAAACGCTTAGAATTAGACAGATCCTGGCGCAAAAACACAAACCTTCAAATGCAGGACATCATGGATTTGCTGGAGTTTGTGCTCACAACAACATATTTTAGTTTCCTGAACAACATCTCCCAATAACGCTTCGGCACTGCTATGGGTAGTCCGGTGTTTCCCATTGTTGCCAATTTGTTCATGGAACATCTGGAGCAAGAAGCAATAGCCACTGCCCCCATAGAATGCAAGCCTGGCCTATGGAAACGTTATGTTGACGACATACTTGAGATAATCAAGAAAGGGTCACAGATAGAGTTGACCACACATATCACCAACATAGATGCCACTAACAACATCAAATTTACATGTGAGGAAGAAACCAACGGCACAATGCCCTTCCTAAACACTATACTAGTAAAGAAAGAAGACGGAACTGTGAAGGTATTGGTCTATGAAAAAAGACCCATACGGACCAATACCTGAACTTCAAATCTCACCATCCTTTACACCAGAAATTAGGCGTCATACGCACATTGCTCAGCAGATGTGGTACAATAGTCACAGAACAACAGGACAAAACACAAGAGCATAATCACATAATCAAGGATAAGAACAAAACCAAAGGGCAAGTGGTCATCCCGTATATAAAGGGTATATCCGAAACCATCCAGAGGATATATCGCGGTCATGGCATAGCAACAGCCATGAAGCCCCACAAGACGCTTCGCAATATCCTGGTACACCCTAAGGATAAAACACCAAAAGAAAACGTCGCATAATGCGTATACAAAATCGGATGCAAAAACTGCGACGCGTCCTATATTGAAGAGACTTGAAGGCAATTTTGGGTCCGCCTTGGTGAACACCGGAAAGACACAGAAACCCAAGAAGGTAGAAATTCACCAGATCTGAAAGAAAACAGTCGGAGTCCCAGATATATAATTGGCAATCACAGACCATGCCAAACAGCAAAAACCATCTGCTTGACTGGGATAACTCCAAAGTTTTGGACAGAGAGAGAGCAATCTTTTCACGCGGCAGATAAAGGAAGCCATCTGGATAGGCCGCAGTGGACCAGTTCTAAATCGAGACGAGGGGGCTCAAAGACTCTCGCACATCTATAACCAAGTGTTAACAAAGCATAGCTGAATTGAGTCATTTCGGTACATATATAACAACTATTGTACATACGGTTCCAGCGTAGCCAAAATAGACATCGATTTTATGGACAACTCGTACACATTTTACACCTTTGTGTGCATACGCTTCATTAGTCATTTGTCTGATGAAGGTGACAGTGTACATATCGTACTAGTCATCGAAACGGCACATAGAAAATTGTATTGGTTGTGTAAAAAGAACTTCTCATAATTGCAAATATTTTATGAATTATTTTAGTTTGCATTTATAAGATATATTTCTGTTTTTCTTTCGAACTCAAGAAAATCTGCATTCCGTCCGTTTACTTTGTTGCAATTCTTGCAAAAATTGATAATATATAAAATACACAGCATTTAATGTAATTGTTAAATCGATATACTGTGTTCATTGCAGGTTAATATGGGTGACGGTGTTGCTCGCGTGTGTGGGGATGTTGTTGCTCCAGATTGTAGACAGAGTGATGTACTATTACTCCCTTCCCATGGATGTCAACTTTCGAGTCAACTATAACACTTCCCTGCTCTTCCCAGCAGTCACCATATGTAACCAGAATTCATTTAAGTATGTTTTCTTTAAAATCCACGGTCCTCGTGTTGTAGGTTTGCTATATATCACATTATCAATCTTATAAGACACATTGATAGAATAGCAAATAAGTAAGATCACGCGTGTATTGAAATATCTCTTCTGAAAAATTTCGACAGGTGCTATAAAGGATATGTTATATAATTCATGAACTATTTTCTGGTGTCTCTCGTAGTACGAAAACGTTACTTTACGTGGTAGACATATTTATTTGTAGTTTCTCTTATGGCACAAACCTTCTGCCTCTCGTGACACGTATCATTGGATCACTGTGTCCCTCGTGGAATGCACCATTTACTTCTTTAACTCTTAACATGTTCAATGTATTTCATGTGTTGCTCATAGTATGCACTATATGCTTTCTGTGCATATCGTTGTTACATACATTTGTTGTTGTCACGAGTTGTTAATCTCTTCCATTGTACACATCATTCACCAGCTGCTCTATGTATTGTAGTATAACCAATTTATCTATTCCGTTTCATGGACCATCTACCTCCATTATCCATCGTCATTCACAAATAGTCTTCCATGATTTCTCTTTGTATTCACCGTTAACGTCATCTGTCTCTCATCATTTCATTCATATTGCTGTCGTGGTAAACACAACATACTTATATCTTTCTTGTGCTTTTCACCTTTTGTCCCCTGTTGCTGTCATGGTATAAACCATTTACTTTACATGAATATATTTGTACGAAACGTTTACTTCATATTTATGTCGTGATAAACATCGTGTACATCCTATTTCTGCCGTAATATAAACCGTGTTCTTCCTGTTTGTCGTGATATTAACCAGTTACTTCCTGTCTGTCGTGATATTAACCAGTTACTTTTGTCTGTCGTGAAATAAACCGTTTTCCTTCTGCCTGTCGTGGTATAAACGGTTGACTTCCCTTCTGTCCGTCGTAATATTAAACCGTTCACTTCCTGTCTGTCGTGGTAGCGTACGAACCGTATATAAAATGTTTCTTGTTATATTCACTACTTACCTTTTTTCTCTCTAATGTTTGCAAAATAATGACCGGTTTGTATGAAAAGGCCGTTCCGAATGCATGAAACAAACAAACAAATCAATTCTGTGTATTATACTATTATCATTGTTTATTTTTGTTTTTGCTATTAGGTCATTGTTGTTCTGGAAAAGTTTGCTTACAAAATACTGTGACTGCTATAAATTGATTGATCACTTATCTTTAAATGTCGTTGTTGTATGGTCAGTTATTGACGTTATGTATTACAGGACAACCCTTGCTAACCAGTCAAATCTGTACCATCTGCTAGAGAAGATGCATGCACCCTCGGATACAGTAACTGTAGATGATTTGCAATACTATGGCGCCGCAAATATTACCTTAGACACAATCTTCCTGCTAACTGCACACAAAAAGGAAGACTTTATCACCAAGTAAGTTCAATATTTCCATATTGTCGCATTTAACCATCTTTTTATAGTATAGACACAACAAATCACACAGAAATACTTAATCTCGATTAAGCAGGTTTTATTTAACTAACTTATTATTGTGAAGCATCGAAATGCAGATCGGTTTCAAGCTGGTGGTACAAATAAAATTTAGGATAAATAGAATGTTTAACAGAGACAATACATAAGTATTCAACATTGTTATTTGATATCACAACTTTAAAAATATTACTACCAATTCATCTTATCACGTGAGGACATAATGGATCTGTAAAGTGGGACACTTCGACCCCGTTGTTTTCGTCCTTAAACAGCAGGAACAATATTCTATCAACCGATTCTCACGGGTTTCTTTTGAATGATCAAATATAAGAAGAAAGTTTTGCTAAAGAAACGCTATAACAATGTTAATGACCTCTTATATCATTGCTTCTTCGGTTTTATTGTTGTTTTCAGTACCTTGTTGTACGTTAAACCCTCATACTATAAACACATGTCGTGTTATAAAGGTGCTCATGGAAAGGTACAAAATGCGGGCCAGACGATTTCGACCTCATCGCAACAGATCATGGAATATGTTACACATTCAACAATCGTGATGTCGGAAAAAGCATATCTTCTGTCGGTAATTAATACTTATAAGGTAGATCTCGCAACTACCAGGTCATTTGTAGCAGTGTTGGTAACGCTGATCATTTGTTTCGAGATGCTTTTTGTGTTTGTGTGTTTTCTATATCTTACATACAGTATATATGTCAATCATTTCATGATAGAAAATTGACCAGTTTTGTGCTTAATATAAACATTTTAGACAATCAGACATCACTTTGCTGACTGAAGCGTTAACCCCAAAGGTACATAAACAGTATTAGCTTATTACGCCGCATCATTTTGATATTGATATTTTTCGCCCTTATGTTGTTCTGACGCGACCCACATTTATTGATCAGCGTCCTACAGGTTGTATATTTGATCCGTATGATAACCCTATACAATAAACGTTCTTTTCATAGTATGATTCATCCGTGATATTGAGCTTACTTTAAATAAAATGTCCTGATTGTGTTTCTCTCCAGGAGACTACAATCACCGTAAACAATGTTACGATACTTTTTATCATTATTACCAATAAATCGACATTCTTGTTTCCAATAACGTTGGTGCATTTTATATCCTAAACATACAAGGTTCTGTGATACGATGTCGCAACATTGATTTATCATTTCTAATCATTTTTTGTTACAAAATGTTTAATGGCCGAAGAGCATATTCAACAGACCGCCTTTAGAAAGTGATCCTGAGAGCTCTGTATCACATCACCTCCAAGTATTGACTGCAAGGGTAATGCTTATCAATGCATTTACTTACCTGTAACAAACGTATACTGCTCATTGTACCGTATAGTAACGAATTCATAACAACTAAATAATAAACGACTTCCCTTTTTTAATCTGGAAGTAACGCATATTTTATTAGCTTTTCATCGACACATTCTTATTTAAATATTCCCCGCTGACATATATTAGTGTTTACGGAAGAGTACATATTGCAGGAAGCGGAAACGGGCTGCGTCTGACACTGAATGTTGAGCAATACGAATACATGGCCGGACCCCGTCGTGACACAGTGGGAGTGAAGATGATATTCCATACCAGAGGCGATGTACCACATGTAAACGCCCTCGGGCACGCTGTAACCACCGGGACACATGCGTTCGTGGGATTAAAGATGTTCCATGTATGCAATTTAATTTTGAAAGTGACTATAAAATAAAAAGTATCGAAGCATTTTCTTGATCAATATATTGATAAACCCCCCACAATTACTAATAAAAAAACCCCATTACATATGTTCCTAAACATATTGTGATCATTGATTCTACTGATGTCAAGTATACTCAAATAAAACCAGAGACAGTAATCGCTCCATCCTTGGAGATTCCTCTCTAATGAAAGAAAAAGAAGAAAACGAACGTCTCTGATACAATACAGCGTTTATTTCAATAATAACACCATAGTCATCAGTTCTTTATTTCTATCTCTTTTGTTTTCCTATTTTTGACTAAAATATTCCCTGAACCAAAATTATTTGAATAACATATCAATATGAGGATACACATCGTGTATAGAAAATATAAAATGTCAATTCACGTTCATTGTACCTTGCCAAAAAAATAACGGAAATAGTTCTTTACAATCTAATCGTCTTACAAATCTTGCTAAAATAATATGCAAAATGACAAGACCCAACGCTGATGGTACAAATTCAATTAATATTTCTTTTCTGATTGCGAATCAATTGTAGATCAATAACATGTTCCGACCTCATGGGACCTGCACTGACCAGTCGTTAGAGTATGTGGACCACTATACCGTAGCCGGATGTGAGATGGACTGTCTCACTCGTCTTGCAAACAAAACGTGTCGATGTCGACATATGTACATGCTCCACAAAAATGGTAATGCAAGATATTCATGACGATACAAAGCGATTACAAGGCCCGAATAATGCCACAAAATACTACATAAAGAATTAACAAGAGACTTGTCTATTATCGATTTTTCAGCGAAAGCAACTATCGTCGCTTTTTATGTATATTGAAGTAAATCTACACCGAAACGCATTCTTTTCCGAAAACATTGGCCAACTCGAACTTCTCGCAACATAATTGGAATATGTTATCGTTAGTTGGATCATCTTAAATAGGTGACGTTGTTAACGTTAGTTGTATCATCTTAAATAGGTGACGTTGTTAACGTTAGTTGTATCATCTTAAATAGGTGACGTTGTTAACGTTAGTTGTATCATCTTAAATAGGTGACGTTGTTAACGTTAGTTGTATCATCTTAAATAGGTGACGTTGTTAACGTTAGTTGTATCATCTTAAATAGGTGACGTTGTTAACGTTAGTTGGAACATCTTATAGTACGTGACGTTGTTAGCGTTAGTTGGATCATCTTAAAGTAGGTGAAGTTGTTATCGTTAGTTGGATCATCTTAAAGTATGTGACGTTGTTATCGTTAGTTGAATCATCGCAAAGTAGGTGAAGTTGTTATCGTTAGTTGGATCATCTTAAAGTATGTGACGTTGTTATCGTATGTTGGATCATCGTAAAGTAGGTGACGTTGTTATCGTTAGTTGGATCATCTTAAAAGGGGACGTTGTTATCGTTAGTTGAATCATCGTAAAGTAGGAGACGTTGTTAACGTTAGTTGGATCATTGTGAAGTAGGTGACGTTGTTATCGTTAGTTGGATCATCTTAAAAGGGGACGTTGTTATCGTTAGTTGAATCATCGTAAAGTAGGTGACGTTGTTAACGTTAGTTAGATGATCATAAAGAAGGTGACGTTGTTAACGTTAGTTAGATGATCATAAAGTAGGTGACGTTGTTAACGTTAGTTAGATGATCATAAAGTAGGTGACGTTGTTAACGTTAGTTAGATGATCATAAAGAAGGTGACGTTGTTAACGTTAGTTAGATGATTTAAAAGTAGGTGACATTGTTATCGTTAGTTAGATGATCTTAAAGTAGATGACGTTGTTAACGTTAGTTAGATGATCTTAAAGTAGGTGACATTGTTATCGTTAGTTGGATCATCTTAAAGTAGGTGAAGTTGTTATCGTTAGTTGGATCATCTTAAAGTAGGTGAAGTTGTTATCGTTAGTTGGATCATCTTAAAGTATGTGACGTTGTTATCGTATGTTGGATCATCTTAAAGTAGGTGACGTTGTTAACGCTAGTTAGATGATCTAAAAGTAGGTGACATTGTTATCGTTAGTTAGATGATCTTAAAGTAGATGACGTTGTTAACGTTAGTTAGATGATCTAAAAGTAGGTGACATTGTTATCGTTAGTTAGATGATCTTAAAGTAGATGACGTTGTTAACGTTAGTTAGATGATCTTAAAGTAGGTGACATTGTTATCGTTAGTTAGATGATCTTAAAGTAGGTGACGTTGTTAATGTTAGTAGGGTCATCTTAAAGTAGGTGACATTGTTATCGTTAGTTGGATCATCTTAAATAGGTGACGTTGTTATCGTTAGTTGGATCATCTTAAAAGGGGACGTTGTTATCGTTAGTTGAATCATCGTAAAGTAGGTGACGTTGTTAACGTTAGTTAGATGATCATAAAGAAGGTGACGTTGTTAACGTTAGTTAGATGATTTAAAAGTAGGTGACATTGTTATCGTTAGTTAGATGATCTTAAAGTAGGTGACGTTGTTCACGTTAGTTAGATGATCATAAAGTAGGTGACGTTGTTAACGTTAGTTAGATGATTTAAAAGTAGGTGACATTGTTATCGTTAGTTAGATGATCTTAAAGTAGGTGACATTGTTATCGTTAGTTGGATCATCTTAAATAGGTGACGTTGTTAACGTTAGTTGTATCATCTTAAATAGGTGACGTTGTTAACGTTAGTTGGATGATCTTAAAGTAGGTGACGTTGTTAACGTTAGTTGGAACATCTTATAGTACGTGACGTTGTTATCGTTAGTTTGATCATCTTAAAGTATGTGACGTTGTTATCGTTAGTTGAATCATCGCAAAGTAGGTGAAGTTGTTATCGTTAGTTGGATCATCTTAGAGTAGGTGACGTTGTTATCGTTAGTTGAATCATCGTAAAGTAGGTGACGTTGTTAACGTTAGTTAGATGATCTTAAAGTAGGTGACGTTGTTAACGTTAATTGGGTCATCTTAAAGTAGGTGACGTTGTAAACGTTAATTGGGTCATCTTAAAGTAGGTGACGTTGTTATCGTTAGCTAGATGATCTTAAAGTAGGTGACGTTGTTAACGTTATTTGGGTCATCTTAAAGTAGGTGACGTTGTTATCGTTTGCTAGATGATCTTAAAGTAGGTGACGTTGTTAACGTTAGTTAGATGATCTTAAAGTAGGTGACGTTGTTAATGTTAGTTGGGTCATCTTAAAGTAGGTGACATTGTTATCGTTAGTTAGATGATCTTAAAGTAGGTGACGTTGTTAACGTTAATTAGATGATCTTAAAGTAGGTGACGTTGTTAATGTTAGTAGGGTCATCTTAAAGTAGGTGACGTTGTTATCTTTAGTTGGATCGTCGTAAAGTAGGAGACGTTGTTAACGTTAATTGGGTCATCTTAAAGTAGGTGACGTTGTTAACGTTAGTTAGATGATCTTAAAGTAGGTAACGTTGTTAACGTTAGTTAGATGATCTTAAAGTAGATGACGTTGTTAATGTTAGTTGGGTCATCTTAAAGTAGGTGACGTTGTAAACGTTAGTTGGATCATCTTAAAGTAGGTGACGTTGTTAACGTTAGTTAGATGATCTTAAAGTAGGTGACATTGTTATCGTTAGTTGGATCATCTTAAAGTAGGTGACGTATTCAACGTTAGTTGGATCATCTTAAAGTAGGTGACATTGTTATCGTTAGTTGGATCATCTTAAAGTAGGTGACGTTGTTAACGTTAGTTAGATGATCTTAACGTAGGTGACGTTGTTATCGTTATTGGATCATCTAAATAAAGGTGTCGTGATTACACAACAACATATCATCGATAGGTTTTGTTATGTTTTTATATCAGCCATAGCTCTTAAATGTTCTTCAAAACGTCGAATCAGAATGACAGCGTTTCAATGTTTGCATTAAATGTTCTTGATACGATGGTTATTGTATCGACCAACACTCGTCTACTCTCCAATGTATTGATATCGTTGTCTGAATACAAGTAGTATTCTAATATCTACCAGCTTGCGGTATCTTCTAAGATAACGTTCTGAAAAGTCTACATTGACTTGAAACAAATTGCATTATACCTTTAACTTAGAAATGTGTATGGTGTATCTATTTGACATGGAATACTGTTTGAATCAAGAGAATCATAGCACATCAATCGATCTATCACAGCTGCCGCAGTTAAGTGTTCAAATGACAAGGTTAATGTCTTATTGCGACTGAAAGACGACATGGTGTCTGCGAAGGCAGCTAACGGGCATTCGATTGATTTGATAGATAAATTATGTCATGAAAACAAATGATCAAAATTAAAAAGCTGTAAATAACACTATTGCATACTATAATCATTGTGACATGAACAAATTGATACAGCACAAGACTGCAATTTGTCAAGGTGTATGTAAAAAAGGCGGCAAATTTCGGTTTTGTTTTGTTTTTCTTTTTGTCTATGAGTGCCCTTTGATTTATGTTATAGGTGTGCCGTCCATATGCTCACTCTATCAATACGTGACCTGCCTGAAACCTCTGCTTGGTAGGTACCTATGTAGATTGTACTTTCTTGACAGCAGACATATTTGATTAATTCATGCTATACATGGAAAAGCGATGAACTTTAAATGAAATGTTGATTTATTTTAAGTTGTAAGTCCTTTACATTTTAACATTTAATTTCAGAAGAAGTTGTAAATTTGTCAAAGATGTGTCATTGTCCTGTGTCATGCGAGTTTCGATCATATGAAACTGAAATATCTTACGGTTCAACGCAGATGAATGCCATGAAGCAGTTAGTTAATGACAATGACAGTAAAAAACTGTCAACTGCTCGATTGGCGGCGATGGAAGTGACGTCACGAATGAAGAATGCCACGTTGCAGAGAAAAGTGTCGCTAGGCTACAGATTCATTCACAGTCTAGCTGATATTGAAGAAGTACTGTTAGTTAACTTGTCCAACAAAGTGGACGAAATTAGTAACGTTCTTACAGATGATATAATTAACACCCAGAATTTGTTTAATGTTAAGACTTTTTTATATAACTTTCAAATTCACATTGTACAGAAGAATTTCATTGGAGCTAAAGATGCCATGGAGGATCGAACAATACAGGATGTTGTCCTGGCGTACTTAGATTTTATCATGGACGTTGAGAAAAGTATCCGGCTATTAACAGATAGGAATCTAACCGATCCTTCTGTTCGTCTAATGATGCATCGATCAACATCTCTAATGTTGACAGCCAAGATAGAAATGATACAAAGAGCCTTCGTAAACTACACAACGCTGAAACGCGCATACGACACTGGGACACCCATTTTCAATTACTCATTCAGAAATCTCCCATGGGAATTCAATAAACCAGCTACACCAAAGTATTTGTTAATGCATGCTTCCGTTCATAACAATTACTCAAGAGTATATGGTAAACGCCTGTTTGCTGAGTTAGATAACCTTCGACTGGTGCTGAAAACACTCCTTAATCTGACGAATGAAGCACATGCTACTGGTTTCATTGATAACGACGATTTGGTCCGTCAACGGGAACGATTTCAAACACACATGAGAAGATTCCTTTTTGCAAGAAGTGTGTTTAATATTGACACGGTTGAATGGCCACTTGGAATACTGCAAACTCGTCTCCATAGTTTCCATACTATGTGGCATCATTATTCAGAAGTGGTAATGCACATCAACGAACGGTTACATGCAATGCAGGTCGAGCTTCGTAAAATCAAAACCAGTTTTTTCCTTCCTTTGGCAAACATTAAAAGGAAAATGAACAATTTAATCTTTTTTCAAAATGAAACACAGATTTCCATTTCCGAACTTTTGACATCAGACAGAATTAAAGAAGGTATTTATTATTTCAAGACTTATTTTCAACGTCTTATTACCACTGGTGTGGTTTTAACTGACTGGATTCAACACACGGAGAAAGAAGTTTTAGAAATATGGAAGAAGGTCGTGGAAGATAAGGATTCGACAGAATACCATTCCTATATGAATCAATATCAATTTACTCGAGGCTTTTCGGATATTAAGAGAGAAATACTCTCCAATTTCACATATCTTGAACATCTATGCCATTTTCATACTATTATAGCAAACAAGGAACTCCTCTTTATAAATACATTGACGAAGCTAATTGATGAGGCAAAGGCATATAAAGAATTCGCCACTATTGACAGTGAATTTGTGAGGTAAGCTACTTTTTCATTTATCTTGTGAGATTTGTTTCACCTTTTCCTATTGATTTAATTCATTTAAAAAGATTTGTTATTAATAAGATTTTATTTTTGAAATATTTCAATCGAAAGCATCATTGTTGCATATCGAAATAGCTACTATGCCCAGCTTTAGTCGATGGTTACATATACCAGCTAAAAGTTTTAAATGATTCTCCTATGTGTGTCGTTTAGTCTGCTCAATCTATTTTCAGAGATAACTTCTTGCAACTCGATGTGTTCTTCAAACAGCTGAGTTACAAGGAAATTCAACAGCAAATCGCGTACGATATATCTGCCCTTTTTTGTAAGTATTCACTGCATAAATTACAGACAATTTGTAATTTTATTTAATGTATCCGCACGTTATGGTAAGTCATTAAGATATATTAACTCAATAGTAACTGGCTTGTCAACATATATGTTATTTATGATAAACTAATACATATTACTGATCGTCATAAGCCAAAATCTTCTGCTCATCATTACAAATGTTATATATGTAAAAACATCTTTTTTATTTAGAAAGTGTAACATATTCAGACGTGCGCCTAGTTGTATGGCCTTTTGAAACACGCAATATAGTACATACACAATTATGGACGATTTCGAAAAACTTTCATGTACCAAGTAAACAATGTTACTTTCCAAAGCATTTAACACACGCTATGTAAGATACCGTCTTGCCCATTAAATTTGCACTAATAAATGTATAGTAAGCATGACGATAACAAAATAAATAAATGATAATACCAGCATGTTGACATAATACTTGTGTATTGCCTATACCATGGAGGTGTAACAACGAGAGAACTGAGTAAGCCCTGGTAGAAAATAGCCCGAGTAAGCAAGTGATTTGGCTGAAGTGGTATATATTGAAAACCTATGTTGTACCTTCATTATACACGTTTATGTTGACATAGCTGTATATGTCTGCGCTCTGTTTTTTACAGGCGACATCGGTGGATCCATGGGATTGCTACTAGGAGCAAGTGTGTTGTCTGTTTTTGAAATAATGGAATTTATTTCTATTCAAACTTTTTTAACATTCAGAAGTATTTTCTAAAATGAAACCCAGATAATGCAATAGTGCAATATGTTAACCAGTGTAACAGGACGTAATACATGTTTTGTACCTAATATTTTTACCTCAATTTGATCAGTGAATTTAAGGCCATATAATACGGATTGTGAAATTACAAAGATTTAACCAAAAACAACATGCGTTTGTCGAGAAAATAGGAAGCTTTAAGATTATATTCCATCACCTAATGCACGACTGTCTACATGTGAGACTGCACCTTAACTGCGACAAAGCATATTAAGAATAAAAGTAAAATTTAATCAGCTGATATAATATACACAACACGTTCTATCGGCGTAATACTATATACATGTATAACTACAGTTGTGTGATCGCATAACGCAACAAAATTAGCGTGCAAACATCAGGCAAACATCGTGTGTATACAGTCCGCACTTAGTGCGCATACCTGGGCCATTTAACAAACGTTGTGCGATAAAACGCGCACATATGTGCGATATGGTAAGATCGATAGATCGATGAAATGGAATGATGAGAGCGCGGAGGGCTCGGGTGAAATAAGGTACATAGTATACGTATTTAATATCCGCTTGGTATCTCCGTTTACTGTCTGTGGCCCTTTTTTAAGTACGACATCGTATTTAGTACAGGTCATCCCTTAATATGAATCAACAACGCTATTTATCCAACAACTGTGCGAGCTATTAACGCACAGTTTTTAATCGTGCGCACCGTGCACACACCGAACCGCACATTGTGCACACCGTGCACACACCGAACCGCATATCGTGCGCACCGTGCACACACCGAACCGAACATCGTGAAACGTGCGATCCCACAACTGTATGAACACGCTCTGACAGAACACACAACGTTACAGCTACCTCTTTTTGATGATATTACTCAAACAAATACAGCATTTATGCAATTAGATATGTAGGATGACTATGACGTGTTGTTTTAAGGTATCGTGATGAAAGACGCAATGGCAATTCCTCACTGCAGACAACTACCAGTCTAACATTAGGGACGGACGTATTGTTTTTAACTGTATCATTCGAAACACCTTTCTCATGATCATACATATTTCTTGATTTATCTTCAACTTCTTTACACATTTAATATTGTTTTATTGTATATGTTTTCTATGACATTCACTTTACTCGTGCATTATTGCTATCAACATATACCTAGTCTAATGATGTATCAAGATACAGGTAAATAATTCCAAATATAAATAGCATTTCTTTCACTTCTAAGTTCATATTTATGTCCATATATATAAATGTAAACTTTGTTTATTTCAAAAAAATTATGAAACAAGGTATTTCAACTAAAATCAATCACTTTGCTGGCTCGGATGTTAGCACAGGGGTCTTACTGTGGGAGGTAACCGGAGTACCCGGTGGAAATCCACTTGGTTGCCTAGGATAGAGGTACATGTAGTTTTATCATTTTGTTTACGTTCTGATGACATAGGATTACGTGTAACGTTCCTCCAAATGATAGGGACATCCATAATTATTATTTAGGAAATACTTCCGAATATAACGATAGCAGCAACATAACCCATCACCACACACGACGTTCGGTCATCATGTACACTCATACGCTTTCGCTGGAAGATGCCAGGGCTGTTTTGTTGATCATAAGACTCCTTATCAAGCTGTGCAGGTGGTCCCAAATCAAAAGATTTCTGGTCCACCATTAAACCATTTTTATCAATTAAAGGTTCTGCACAATGCAATAATGTAATTTTAAAAGAAAATGAGGCCATTACCAGTTATCAAACAGAGGTCAGCAATGTTTTTAATAATTTTTGTATAAATGTTGCTTCTGATATTAGTACAGAAGATTCTTCTTATGAAACTATTTTAAAAGAGATTAGGGCACACAATAATGATCAGTCAAAATGTTGTTTAAATCATTTCTCTCCTTTCGTGGTTGAAAAGGCTATCTCTAAGGTGAAGGCGAAGAAGGCCACTGGTGTCGATGGTATATCTTGAAAATTCCTTAGAGCCTGTTGTACTGACATCAGTGTGTCTCTGAGCGACATGGTTTACCACTGTTTTGGTAGATCAGAGTTCCCTTGCAGACTCAAGGAGGCACAGATAGTTCCTAATTTTAAGATTTTTTTTTTTTGAAAGAACCATGTGTGATTAAATGACTGCCTTTTTAGTAATGTTTTTCATCCTTTCCTTGCAGCCTTCCGACCAGGATTTGTGTGTCAATCCACCCTGTTGCGACTTGTTGAGGATTGGTGTAGAGGCCATGGACAACCATGAGTATGTCGCTGCCATACTGATGGACCTCTCCAAGGCTTTTGACTGTCTTCCTCATAACTTGTTGATCGGGAAGCTGGAGGCCTATGGCCTGAGCAAAGCCTCAGTTAACCTGGTGTCCAGCTACCTGAGCAGCAGGAAGCAGCAGGTAAAAATTGGCTCCAAATGCGGTGACTGGCTGGAAGTGCTGAAGGGGATACCCCAGGGTTCTATTTAAGGACCCTTAATTTTTTAATGTAGTTGTAAATGATATGTTTTTATATGTGACATCCTGTACATTATATAAGTATGCAGACGACAACACTGTCAGTGAATCGAATAAAGACCCAGATGCTTTAAAACATAATATTGAAAATGACTGTCAAAATTTAATAGACTGGTTTTAATTCAACCAGATGAAAGCAAACCCTGATAATAGGGAAACTTTCGGTAGATGCTTTACAGTCTTTTAGTATTGGCGAAATAGATATTGTTCCTGACAGTGTTGTCAAAATTTTAGGTGTGAACTTTGATTTATTTTAAACTTTGAAGCTCATATCTCTGACATTTGTAGGAAAGCCTCAAGGCAATTGTCCATTTTAAAGCGAATTGGGAGTTTTTTAACCAAACAAGGTGGACTTGTAATTTAGAATTATTTTATTGTTTCAAATTTGAACTACTGTCCTTTAGTCTGGCACTCTTGTTCCATGAAGAGTGTCAGAAAGCTAGAAAAGATACAAGACAGAGCTTTAAGGTTTATACATAATGATCACAACTCATCCTTCAGACACTTACTCAGTATTACCAACACAACAGGCTTCATGTAAGGCGTCTGAAGGAAATTGGTTGTGAGGTTTATAAACAAAATTTCTCCTGAATATATTCATGATCTTGTAAATATTAAGATGTATAATTATGACTTCAGGAAATAAAATAGTGCAGAGGTGCCCAGTGTCAACACTGTGAAGTATGGACATAAATCGTTTGCTTTTGTAGTCTCCCAAATGACTTCCGAAAAGTTGAAAACTTCAAAGAATTCAGGAGGCTGGTCCATTATTGAGATGGCCCCATCTGCCTTTGCAATATCTGCAAAGAGTGATACTTCATACTGTGCCCTGGTTACCTCTGCCACCTGACATTTTGGATTGTGTGATACTTTTATTGTCTTATTTCATTTCTTATATGTTTTGATTCTATTCTATATTTTTGCAGCATCTTATTTTAATTCCATATATTCTAGAATATAAATTTTTACAAAACTTTATAAATTTTGTTAATTGATTTCGGTATCATTTTTAATTCACACTATAATAGTGTATATTCTGTCAATTTTTATTCTTTGCTATCTTAGCATTAATATTTGTACGTATATTCCACTTCATAGTGTTTTAATCCTAAGTCCTAAGTAATTCTTGTGTGATATACAAGTATTCATTCACTATGTCTTTTATTTACTTATTCTGAATACAACTTATCTGTGATCACATTTAATGCTTTTCATATATATTAACACTATTTTTTTTATCTTTATTGTTCCAAAAGGGTCATATCCCGGGGTCCTTTGTAGGTAGGGGACTCCCAATCACTTAGAAACCTGGGGTATGGATACTTTCTTTTTCTGTGATAGTTATTACTGCTTTTTATTAACATATGTGATTATCTCCCTTTACTTGAAATATAATATGTTATTTTACATATGTTTGTCGCAATAATAGCTCTCAAGAGCTTATGTTCCTTGTTTACCTGTATGCGACGTTAAATAAAGTTTATTGTATCTTGTTTTATCTTGTTGTACGCTGGCGAAGTCCCTCCCTTCAGTGGAGGTGTGTTCCAGGGTGACACGTACATAATGCAGGGTAGTATTTAGGGAGGTGGACGTGTCTGCGAAATCAAAGATGCCACTTCATACATTTGTATTGCGTTAAACAAATGAAAGTATATATAATGCACAATTTGTGTAATTGTAGTTGTATCGTTTCGAATAGTCTAAACAACATTTAAAGAAAACTTACCTATTTAGAACATAGTATTGAGTACTGAATACTGCAATATTTAATCATGTCTCTCGTCAATTCTGTTAATCGTGTAAGATGACAAACATCAATTATGTTACACACTTAGCAGCCATAATATTAAATAATGACTAGCATCAAGATAGTAATAGCCGAATATGATATATAGCATCAGTACAACATAATGGCAAATCACTGAAAAGCTTCAGTGCTTTTAGTTTTTCTTTGCTTTGCGATAGTGTCTCATAATTATCTCTCATCACAGAGAATGAAATTAGCTTTAGTATTTTTTTGGTTTTGAAATCCAAAGTTCCTTTTCTCAACATACATATTCGGTTTTGCTTTTCTTTGTGATAATGTCTCTCACTTATCGCTCATCACGGGGGATGACAATTAAGTAAAGAATGAGAGATATTTTAATTAAATATGTGAAACGTTAACAAGGCGTTGGAATACGCTATTTTAAAGTCTTTTCGTAAGAGTGATGAAATGAATGAGAAGTGTGAACTTACCAATCGGTGTTGTAGTGCTAGTAACGACTGGTGCTATTGGAGTCTGCTTCACAACACCTGTATAACAATCGGTGTTGTAGTACTAGTAACGACTCGTGCTATTGGAGTCTGCTTCACAACACCTATATAAAAATCGGTGTTGTAGTACTAGTAACGACTCGTGCTATTGGAGGCTGCTTCACAACACCTGTATGACAATCGGTGTTGTAGTACGAGTAACGACTCGTGCTATTGGAG